CCTTGGGTGTCCCAGCAGGGTGCTCCCACGCAAATAGGTAAGAAGTATGTCCGCCGAGCTCATTAATTAAAGTTACACACTCCGAATATTCTATAGTGGAGGGTCCTGAGAGCAATGGAACTGGGAAATTGAAGAGATATTGCACTGAACCTTTGGCCCGTACTCGGGGCTTTCAATTCTGAGCAATTTGGATGCAGTCGGGTCCAAAAGTGGCATTAAATAGCCATGTTGCAGAAGGATGAATTTTCAAAATGGCTACTTTTCCGTGCAGTTACATTTTCCTTCATTTTAGGGGTAGTCTGCATTTGGTGAGGATTTCTCGAAAGTTCATTGGTCAACCCACTAAAACTTGAAAGGAAAATAAAAGAGGACATGTCAAACGTCGTTTTTCTAAGCAGTCTGAACACCTAAGAGAGATGTATTTTTTAAACATTTGTGAAGTATAGGGATTTATCACTGTTGTACATGGGAATTTATTTGCTGCGGTGCACCCAGCAGAGTGCAGCTCCCTACAAAGGCGCCTCTGTTGTTGGGAAAAGCATGACCTCTGTTTGTTCCGTTGGGGGCGGCTACTGAATCCATTAACGTTTGGAGTGGCACACAATCAGGTCAAACACCATTCTGATAGAGTCTAACACGAAAAAGAAGAAGTAACACTTCATTTTATAATAGGCCTACCATTAAATGAGTTGCGACCTTCTACTTCATGTGATGAAGTGTTTTGGTTGGAAATTAAAATTCCTCACTGAGTCAAATGTTGCGTGGTACGGAGTGCCTTCTATAATCCGCCTCGAGCAGAAGCACCCCCTCATCGGTTGAAAAGAGCCGCGTTTGTCGGAGTGTTCAATTTGACGGTGGCGATGCGACCGTAACGCTTGTATTTCCTAGTCGTGCATTGCAAATGCTTTTAAAGAAACCAGGAAATGAGTTTTCCTTAGAATCACTTTTTGTGTATCTCTGTACTCTTCTTTCATGTATGAAGACTGTTTAATATCTTTTTGAGTTACGTGAACTGAACGGTGCACTTTTCCACACATTAAAAATTGACCAAGCATTTCTGTACAAGTGAGGACGCTTTTGCTTTGATGTAAATCCAGGAAAGCATGGTTCAGGCTGCATGTTTTCATGTTCAAATTGTGAGTCCCAAACTTGCAATCTGGGGACATTTCTGTGAATCGGATTTCTGCCATAAACTTACACAGCAATAAATTTCCAAAGAAAATAAAGTCTGCAGTAGCAGTGGTTAAATATCTAGATATTTTCTGTGCACAAATCAGTGCAACATTGAGATTCGGTGTCTTGGATGATTACATAGCTCTGCTCATGAATATTCAAATATGCATTTTTATATTTATGCGCATCTATGACAGTCTGTAAAGATCCACCCCGGTGTTTTTAAAAAGCAATGTCATACGGGAAAAATGCACGCGCACAAGTCCAAAAGGCGTCCGAATGAGCTCGGACGCGCTACGTTTTGGGCATGCGCTGTTGGAATACAGGATAGGCCCCCTATTGTCTATATCATGCAATAAGCGAAATGCTTAGCTAGTCCTTCTTGTAGTTTATAATTATATCTGTGGTTTTGCTTGCAGAAACTCACACTTTGAAATATGAATGTGATATCCAAGCTAAAAGTTAAGATGTGTATGTGGAGTCCAGATCTCGACGGTCTTGGCCATCATGCCCCAGGTGCCTAAGCGAAGACCTTTCTGGGTTTGCGCATTCTGATGGAAAAATGGTTGTTCGCACCAGTCATGCAAAAGGTGTTGATTTTGACCGAAAGTCAAAGCTGCTTAGAAGCTGGCTATCGATCTATGTTGGCTCTGTGATCAGTACATTTTTCTTTTCTCCACCAAAATGTGAAATTTCTTTTTTTTTTTTGCCCAGATACAATCCGTACAAGTGAAGCAAAAAATTTTCACAGGGTGTTACCGCTGAGCAACAAACCAACCCTCGCTTGCTAATGGAGCCAGTGAAACAAAAACAAAAAAGAAAAGTGAACACTGGTCAAGCCAAATGTACAGGAAACAAGTCTGTTTATTCAGCTTTACAGGTACTATTTTCGACAAACTCGTGATGTTATCTCGACGCAAGTCAGTTAATACACATTGCAGGATTTAAATACCACCAAATACAGGAATTCCCATTTTCCAGATNTAATTACCAGGGTGCACCCGTGAGGCGGGAATCCTTGGTGACCCAGCAGGGTGCTCCCACGTAAATAGGTCAGAAATATATCCGCCGAGCTCATTAATAAAAGTTACACACTCCGAATATTCTATAGTAGAGGGTCCGGAGAGCAATGGAACTGAGAAATTGAAGAGGTATGGCACTGAACCTTTGTCCCGTACTCGGGGAGCAGTTTGGATGCAATCGGGTCCGAAAGTGGCACTAAATAGCCATGGCTACTTTTCCGTGCAGTTAAGTTTCCTTCATTTTAGGGGTAGTCTGCATTTGGTGATAATTTCTCCAAAGTTCATTGCCCAACCCACTAAAACTTGGAAGGAAAATGAAAGAGGACATGTCAAACGTCGTTTTTCTAAGCAGCCTGAACACCTAAGAGAGTTTTTTTTTTAACATTTGTGAAGTATAGGGATTTATAACTGCTGTACATGGGAATTTATTTGCTGCGGTGCACCCAGCAGAGTGCAGCTCCCTACAAAGGCGCCTCTGCTGTTGGGAAAAGTGCGACCTCTGTTGGTTCCGTTGGGGGCGGCTACTGAATCCATTAACGTTTGGAATGGCACACAATCAGTTCAAACACCATTCTGATATAGAGTCTAACACGAAATAGAAGAACTAACATTTCATTTTGTAATAGGCCTACCATTAAATGAGTTGCGCATGCGACCTTCTACTTCATCTGATGAAGTGTTCTGGTTGGAAATTGAATTCCTCACTGAGTCAAATTGTTGCGGGTGTGGAGTGCCTTCTGTAATCCGCCCCGGGCAGCAGCACCCCCTCATCGGTTGAAAAGAGCCGCGTTTGTCGGAGTGTTCAATTTGACGGTGGCGATGCGACCGTAACGTTTGCATTTCCTAGTCGTGCATTGCAAATGCTTTTAAAGAAACCAGGAAATGAGTTTTCCTTAGAATCACTTTTTGTGTGTCTCTGTACTCTTCTTCCATGTATGAAGACTGTTGGACATCTTTTTTGAGTTACGTGAACTGAACGGTGCACTTTTCCACACATTAAAAATAAACCAAGCATTTCTGTACAAGTGAGGACGCTTTTGCTTTCATGTAAATCCAGGAAAGCATGGTTCAGGTTGCATGTTTTCATGTTCAAATTGTGAATCCCAAACTTGCTCTCTGGGAACATTTCTGTGAAACGGATTTTTGCCACAAACTTACACAGCAATAAATTGCCAAAGAAAGTAAAGTCTGCCATAGCAGTGGTTAAAAATATCTAGATATTCTCTGTGCACAAATCAGTGCAACATTGAGATTCAGTGCCTTGGATGATATCATAGTTCTACTCATGAATATGCAAATATGCATTAGCATAAAACTAAAAAAGCATTAAATTATGGGTTAAAGTTGCGAAACAAATATTTAAAATAAGGGTAATTGAAACCCAAAGATGCAATTTCAAGGGTTTCAAGTAAAATTTATAAAAATATATATTGCAATAAGCGAAATGTTTAGCTAGTCCTTCTTGCAGTTTATAATTATATCTGTGGTTTTGCTTGCAGAAACTCACACTTTTGAAATATGAATGTGATATCCAAGTTAAAAGTTCAGATGTGTATGTGGAGTCCAGATCGTGACGGTCTTGGCCATCATGCCCCAGGTGCCTAAGCGAAGACCTTTCTGGGTTTGCGCATTCTGATGGAAAAATGGTTGTTCGCACCAGTCATGCAAAAGGTGTTGATTTTAACCAAAAGTCAAAGCTGCTTAGAAGCTAGCTATCGATCTATGTTGGCTCTGTGATCAGTACATTTTTCTTTTCTCCACCAAAATGTGAAATTTCTTTTCTTTTTTGCCCAGATACAATCCGTACAAGTGAAGCAAAATATTTTTCACAGGGTGTTACCGCTGAGCAACAAACCAACCCTCGCTTGCTAATGGAGCCAGTGAAACAAAAACAAAAAAGAAAAGTGAACACTGGTCAAGCCAAATGTACAGGAAACAAGTCTGTTTATTCAGCTTTACAGGTACCATTTTCGACAAACTCGTGATGTTATCTCGACGCAAGTCAGTTAATACACATTGCAGGATTTAAATACCACCAAATACAGGAATTCCCATTTTCCAGACNGGAGTGACGGGATGCCAGCAGAAACTCATCAACATTAAATTTTAGTAAGTTCGAGTTGACTGGCTTGCTACAGTCATGATTGGAAGTATACGTGGAAGGGGAAATGCGCTTGGGCTGTCTCCATATTAATCGGTTTAATTTCCCAATTAAAAAAGTGGCTTATAATTGAAAATACCATTTCAGCAAAATTAGAATTTTACACGGCAGGTGGGCAAAAATCGACTCCTGCTGAGCATTCGATAAACCGAGTGAGGTTAAGCTGTAAATCACCATGGCAACTAACGGTACGTCTTTTCATTGTTAAATTTAATCTTCACAGTTTCCTCATTAGTACAAGGAATTTTTGCATAACTTCTCTGAAGTATGACAATTAAGTACTGAAACAACTGAAAACTTCGAAGGAATTTTAAATTCAGGGAGAGAGATCAACTAACACGATCTACCTGGGTTATGTCTCGTTTCAACGTTTAGGCCTATTTGTTTCTGTTATTTACTCTCTTGTCTTTGGAGATCTATTCTTTGATAGTCAGCAATAGGGTGGCATCATCTATGAGATACTCTAGGTGCTTCAAAAATCTGACGACCTACAATAAAACCGAGGTACGCCATTCAAACAAACTGTAAAGTTGTCCGGGGAAATACTCTCGTTTCAATTTTTTCAGTACTTAGTGGCTTAAAACCAAACGTAAGTATCCATATCGTTTCATTCTATTTAGGGAAAAATCTGAATGATTATTAAACGTACCACTCATCCAGTGACACTACCCTAGCTGCAAGAACGTGTCAATATAGAAAGAAAGTAAGGCATGCAGTTCTGGTGACACATGCTTCCTGCAATACACAGGCATTAGCTATCTCATGAAGACTACAGAATTGAGACAAATTGGAAAAAAATACCGAGTTTCTGACACAAACCCGAGCTAATTATATTTTGCTTCTAATTTTCATCTCAGTACGTTTCAGTGAGTAGTTATGTCCTTTCCAATGATACCAAACTACTCCTTTGGCGTACACGCTCGTCTGCCCACCGAGGTACATGCCATTCAGGTTGGAGTGGTGGCAGGATTTATACCACCAGGCGCCGGAGTACTTCACGGCACAGTTGTAAGGTCCGTTCGAGTCCTTGTCACGGTCTTTGGTAGTAAAGCTCTGGTTACTGTGGTAGGACAGTGCATCACCTGCAATATATCGGCAGAATAAGAATCCGGATCAATTGGTAAATAGGAATGGAGAAACCAGTTCTTACCGTTTATCCAGAATGAAAGTAATCTCCGGAGGGGTCAGGTTGGCGTAATGATACTTTCCTAGCCCTCCAACCTCCGAGAACCGGGTTAGAAACCCGACGAAGCTGGCGTGTGATTGGGGTTTCACAGTCTAACCCTGATTCCTTGAGGTTTTCCCAATCTTCCCTGCAATTATCAGCTTTCTGCAATTTTCCTCTCATCCCTGAATTTCAGTCATTCTTCGCGGCCTCCCCCAGGAAAACACGTTGCAACCATAAAGGAAGGACGCAAGGAGTTTGAACTGCCCGGGCTATAACATCTGGCCAATTACCGCTTCCTGGCATGCCTGGTATGTCCATAGCCAGACTGCAGCGAATGCTTGCTGCGAATTCTTTAATGTTCTTGTTAATAGTGCCCTTCTCGGACGCTTTCGTCTGGAGTTCATTTTGCGAAAAAAAACAACCAAGTTCTTTATAAGATCTTGTCTTTTATTCAAATCATTTTTATTGCGGCATTTATACAAAAGTGTATTTTATAAGATGTCATCATCAATCCAGCGCATTTTGTTCGTTATGAACTTAGCTTTCCAGTGGTGATGAAGATGAAGATGAAGTCGTACCCAAATTCGTACCAAAGCTTTGAAAACTGATGCTTTTGGGGGACAAAAATAAAATTACTAATCTGCATGGATAATGTAATAGTGTATGAAAATTTAAAAACAGCTTATTCACAATGGCAAAAGTAGGTTTACGTCAGCCAGCAAGCCAGCCAGCCAGCTATACAAAAAGCAATATATGGTAAAACGTTGTGTTGGTTGTGTACACAAGACTTTAAAGATTAAGTATAACAACAATATAAAAGTACCAAAGATAATACCTAGTACGTGTACATTAAACATTAAGATAAAACTGTGATAAAAAGTACACAGATACATAAAACATTTAACAACATAAAATTGACGACTACAAATTATACAAGACTACCTACAATTCAGATTCTCTGAAGTGATCGAACTGCACGTAGAAACACCAAACAGGGATCTTTCTGACAGAGCTGAGGATCATTTCCGTCTACCAGACGGGGGGAAACTGGAATAAATCATTAGCTAGATGAAAGGTATCTCCAGCAATAGCGATTGCACGCTTAGAAAGACGAGACTGGAAAATGTTTTACACTGAGGGCAGGTTGATGCCTACTACCTTGGAAGCAAAAGCACGTTCCGTGTGCCTGGGCTCCTCCTTCGTGGTATTTCCATACCAAATCGTAATGGAGGATACGAGGCCGAAACTCTTCAAAAGACGAAGAAAAAACAAACGTTGTTGGGCTATCTTCAAGCAGTGCTCAACTTGAGTTTTCCAAATCAGGTCGCTCGTGAAATGGATTCCAAGATAGCTATAAGTCTGAACATTTTCCACCTTTGAGCAACCAGAGGTCAGAGGAAAGATTGGAGCCCGCTTCCTACGGAAATCAACAACCATCTCTTTTGTCTTTGACACGCTGAGTTGGAGATCGTTCACCCAACACTACTGGACGAGCTAATTGACCTGCTCTTACCTCTCTCATCATCGCGTCGAATCAAGCCATCAATGGATGTATCGTCTTCAAATTTGACCACGAGCGTTCCTTCTGACGATAGCACGCAATCACATGACATCTAAATGTAACAAATTACTTACTTTACAGAAACGAGTAGTCCGCATCATTTTGCATGTTGACTATCATAATCATTTTGCTCCATTATTTGCTAAGTTAAACCTATTGCAATGTAACCATTCATACGAACTAAATCTGGGAAAATTCATGTACAAAGTTATGTACAATTTACTCCCTTCCAGGTTTAATTCCTGTAGAATTTGCTTTAGATATCATTATGACTGACATACCAGCCGTTCCGGAGTAGCCTTCCACCGTCAACCGGTAGTTGGCACTCCCATCAGCAACACGAAACGTGTCGTACACGGCATACGCAGTGTTGTTCTCAAAGTCCTCGAGATCAATGCGCAGTCGGTACACGCCCTGAGCGGTGAGTCGGTGCAGGTTGTCGTTGCCAAGCCAGAACTCGCCGTTCAGATCACCGAACCCCTGGCGGTAGCTCTCCCAGTCGCGGTAGAAGTCAACAGAGCCGTCTTGACGCCGCTGAAATACCTGAATATGGCCAAGAAATAGTTTCAGCACATTTTGCAAGTTGGGTAAAATGCAGTGGAAAGAAGTAGGGAAATAGCCCTATAAACATTTAACCCTAAAAGAGCCTTTTCACAGCCGATGGGGGGAGGCAGATTCCATCCCCAAGAACTCGCTCAATTATTTTAAGCTTGGCGTGCATTCAAACACACCCCTTATCATTACAAGTGTGTGAAGTTTGAACTCAATCGAAAGCACAATTTCGGTTGTCTGAAGTTCAAGGCTACATGCGTGCGAGCCCGTGTGCATTGACCACCGCAGTGGAAAAAGTGGACATCAAGTTTTGAGCTCTTCCGTTTCGGAACAATGAGCGCTGCACAGGAACAGTACATTTTCGAATTTCGCAGAATTCAAAATGACTGCAAAGAGGTACTCTGAAAACTCCTAAAGGCTCAACCCCTGTAAAAATGCACTGTGGTAACATCTGAAAAATTATTTTTGTAAATTCCGCCCGGCTCTTCTGTAGGGTAATGTTAAAGTAAGTAAATTAATAAACTTGGCTGAAACGTCTGACAGAGAACTGGACACGACAATGACAGGAAGGTCTGGGCCCCACAGAGCGACAGCAGCAGGAATTTGGGCTTATCGTGATAGAATTTACCACCCCTTAACAGAATAAAAGTGTTGCTGCAAAGTTTGGCTGTGAGTGAATTAAAACATGATCTACTGGGGGTTGTTGCGTCAATCCTGTTTTATTATAAACGCTCATATTCAGTGTAAGAGTGAATTGGGGTAGAGGGGAAAGTGTTATTCTAATGAGCGCGCCCATTGCTTATAACGTACCGTCCATCCGCCACCATCTGTCTCCATATCGCAGTACACATCGATCGGACCGTCACCAACCACAGGTTGAACCGTATAGACACCGCTGGTAGTCATGCCGTTTGCAAACACACCAGAACAGTCCTTAGGATACTCATTGGGGCAGGTAGCTAAACAGAACAAGTAACACAACTATCAACACGATTAACGAATTCAGAACATTGGAGGGGAAGTCAGGTGCAGCACTAGTCTACCATACGGTTCGTTTTAGAGCAACTCTTTTCAACAAAGGGTAAGTTATACGTGTATACCAGTTTCAACTTCAATTCAGCTGTTTTGAATGATAGTTTTGAATCTTGGTGAAAAGAAAAGATTATTTGGGCAATTTAACGGGGATTGGTTCCTCTTACGCGGAAAATAACAAGGAATCAGAACGAACGAGTTTGGGAAACTGAGCCATAACCCACCGGTTGTGTTTTGCAGGAGTTCGGAAAACTCATCGAATGCGTTCTTTATCTGGTTTAGCTGCTGTTTGACGTTCTTCACTCTCTGGCAGTCGACACATGTGGCACTGGAGGTACCACTGACCCTACCGATGGTGAAATCCCCAAACACGAAGAAAGCAAGTAGGACAACCAGCTGACCCGACATTATGTTGGAAGATTACTGCGAGAGACTCACAGAGGAGAATACTTTTAGGTGTAGTGTGTGACAATTTTATAAAGAAAAAGATGGGACACAGGGAAATCTGTTTCCCTCTATAAACGGATTGAAATTCTCCGTCATGAGGTGATTGATGTCTACCAATCCGGGTGAAGTATCCAGCATTGTGTAATAATGTCCACCAATCGCAGCAAAGTGCCCACCATGATGCCGTGTACATCAACCAATCACAGCGAAGTGGCACCCACAAGTACCACGGGGGAGTCTGCACGTGAGCATTTGGTGTAGGGTCATTCGTGTATAGGATCTTAAACCATTCCAAACCAATGGCGTGCAACAAATCCTTCAAGCGAGACCATTGTTTTAACTGATTTATTTCTCATCATTAAATTAATATAAGCACACTCGTGGCTCATTTGATATTTACACAATTTTGCACTCGAGTCACATCTGCCTTGTCTTGGTTAATTTCTGGGATAGCCGTAAACTTTAAAAATTTCTGTCGCGTGCGTCATTACAACTAGCTCAGAGAAAGGAGAGAAAAAAGATCAAACTGGGCCTCGCAGAGGTGAATAACGGAGGAATAATCGGCATATATATTGTATACATTGTCGTGTACATGATGAGTACGAGGAAAAGAACGGAATGGCTACGTCAAGTATTCCATTTTGAAACATTGAACTTGATCTAGGATGACCGAGTAAAACGTTACATCAGGAACGTTCAGGTACTGGCGTCGTGTGAACTAAATTTGTAAGAGATGGGTTTTTCTGGATGCATTTTCCACTTTAACAATCCAAACAACCGGCTGTACGTTCATAGAATACATGTATATCGAGGACGCTGTAGATATCAGGTTTAATGCAAGTTTGGTGGGCTCATGGTTCATCACAATAGCCAAAAGTCTGGAGTCCATACGTCACAAACAAGGGCGGATCCAGACAGTTTCCAGGGAGGGGATCAGGCCGCAGTGTTTTTAATATGTCATTTTTGCGGACAAGCATAAGGGTTTTAATTAGTGTTGGATAGCCCAGAGACACAAGGAAAGTCGATTGTGTGAATCGCCAACATCTGACTGGATAACAAGGTTCCAATAAATCTACATTGACAGAAAGGCTCAAGGGCTAACACATGACGAATATTAAGTTGTCATAAAATCTTTTAGTACTGTGCCTTAAAAGTGCAACTTTCCTTTTGGGTAGGTTGGCAATTATCGTTTCCTTTGTGGGGAAATCACAGTGCCACATGTTTCTACAATGAGGGTGGACAGATTGCAGGTTTCGTAGCAGATAGTAAAACATTAGTTTTCCGTTGTAAAGATGTATGTCTCAAAATGGGCGATTTATATTTAAAAAACTATGCTGCGTCTGCTGCAGATCACCCAATGCCCGAGTGAGAAGAAATGTCAAAGCTGATGCAATGGACTCATACTCTAGACTTACACAGGAATTAAAACCTAGTAACTGAATTAGTCACTGCGTTTTTCCAAACATATATGACATTGTCATGTTCTACGAAGCATATAACTTTCCATTACATCTAGCTCGTGCTTAAACGCTGATACCCACATCAGTTCTCAATAGGAGTTATTCCCAATACCTTACATGTGTCAATGCGTACGGAAGTGCGCACATGTATTTCCCCATAATATACTTTTTTGTCTCAGATCGGGGGGGTCAACCCCCAACCCCCTACGATCCACACCTGCATAAACCACATTGGAATATATTCGGTAGCGTATAAACGTTGAACAGCTTTAAAGAAACAAAAGAAGCGATTCACAGCAGTGCGCCTCCAAGTGTTTGCAACGCGTTGACCAATCTCAGCGTGCGAAATCTGTCGACCCAATGCGCGTTTGGAAAGTGTCGACAGATTTCGCGCACTGTGATTGGTCGACGCAAACTCCTGGAGGCGCACTCTTGTGAATCGACAGTATTACATAAAGATGGATAAAGAAACGAATAGTGATTGGAGTCAGTGCAATTACGTTCACGTAACAGTTTTGGGGCCAGTGCAGGTATCATGCTGGCATTGTGAGTTGGCACAATCCAACGATGCATACCCCCCGCAGTTGGGCGAATCGGGAGTTATATCCGAGATCTGTCCGTTCCAGTGTCCCTAAATGGTGCACATATCGATGTGTGTTTGTAGAACTTTGGAAATCATTCTTCTCCTGACCTGTTTTTAGTGAAGAAGACTTCAAAGAAAGCTCCTTGTTGTCATGCTTCTTTCTCTTTGTCTTGTGTGTATGTTCGCTTACCTTTTACATACATTACCTAGTGAGAAGAAAGGGTGTCTACACGACGCAGGAAGGGAAGACGTGCTGTGGACTTACCCATGTCCTTAGGATGGTTCCCGTTGTTTTGCGGATTAATTCACCTGTATTCACTGTGGCTGCGAGTTTGCCAGATGCACTGAGATCCGACGGTTTGATGGTTTGATAGTTTCATTAGTCCTAAAATGTGAAAAGGGCTTAAAATTAGTATTGGATTGCCCAAAGACACGAGAAAAGTCGATGCTTTAATGGCCAACATCTGACTGGATAATAAAGTTCAATAAATCTACACTGTCAGCAAGACTCAAGGGCTAACAGATGACGAATATTAAGTTATGTTTTACCGTGCAAAACACTGAATTTACATTAACAAATACTCAATACCTGAGGGAAGACATTTGTTGCACGCCCCAATTATCTTCTAAAAGAGAGTGCCATCTCGGAGTGTCGATACAAGGCAGCAGACTGCAAACGTTAGCTAGTTTGTGGTGACGGGCTTTGTCTCCAAAATTAGTTATTTACATGTATCTCACAACATCTGCTGTGCCAGCTGGCTACTATCCGTCGCCTTTTGAAAAATAAAACTTTAAAAATCACTTTTGATGATGCCTAGTTATTTCCATCATAAAAGGTTACACGAATTCGGTCCCTGCAGCACGAACTGTCCCATTTATTCCCTAATTTTCAGGGATCACACGACGCAGTGACAATCTGTCCCTTAAGGGCTCCACCACTCTTGACATTCTTTTTTGGAGCGTAAAATTCTGGTTACAGAAATGAGATCAAGTCGTTATACTCTCCAAGGACAAGCTGTCTGTGTTGTAAAAATACTGCCTAAAAATATGAGCTTTGATTTGAGCGGTAAAATGAGCTTTCTGTCTTGAACAGCGGGCTCTCAAACGACATCTTGCTGACCTTTTGTCACCAGAATTGGCCAAAGTGGAACGGTACAAGAACCCTATTACGGATTCCACAATAAAGCACTACATTTTGTAAAAAAAGAGGACTCGTAATATACACGGAAAGCTACATATTGAGACATCGTATGGTTTTAATTGGAAATAGTTGTGTATCATAATCATGCTGCGTCGTGATGAATAAGCACTTTTTATAATGTTAAACAGTTATCTTAAGCAGGGGCCGTGGGGCAAGCTCTGGCCAGCAGACTGAAACGAATACAATTCTATTAGTCTTCATACATCGTTTCTATTTTGACATTGTTGAGTTTTCTTTTGATATATCCCTGAGAAATGCAACTACATCTGTAAGGTATCTTTCCTTTTTCCCCAGTGATTATCTTGCCATGTTAGATTTCTACCTTTAATGTTTTTTGTTCCACTTTAAGGATGGATTAATTGGCTTTCGAGCTACAGTGGTTTATTTTCACTTTTATTAATCCTGGCCACCTTAAAGTAGGTTCTTTTGGTTTGTTGTTTAAATCATAATAATAATAACAATGGCGCTAACTTGGAAAAAAAGGAATTTCATCTATAATTGTACTTTTTCTAATAAAATAGAAGATTCCTCATTAAAAACATTACACCTGCATGAGGAAAGATACTTCTGAGCAGTTTCTCAACTTGAGTGATTGCCATTACGATCAAAAACAAAGCTGTCCGTTATATGTACGTTACTACTTTATTGCAAACGACTGTGCCAGCCCTGGATCTGTTGCTTCTGAACCATAAACAATTATTTTTGAGACCACTTAGAAGAAATGAAACCCTAACACGGTTGAGATCCCTTTTATTATC